GGCATATGGCAGTCAAGTTCATTAGGCATCAGTTATTCTACTCATGCAGTGTACTTGACAAATTACCTGTAAATGTGTGGATAACTTGCTTACCTTAATCATACGTGTGTTTGGGTGTTTTTCTTTCTTTTTAAGGGGGGAATAAAATAATAAGGGCACACAAGTTGCAGAAATACAGCTTTATTTTCTTAATGGCTTTCAGACTTCCTGTGTGCTGGTTGCTATTTAAGTTGACTGAAAATCTTCCAGGGTGAAAGAACAGTGATACTAAGCTTGAGCACGAGTGAAAACTGAGATATCATGAGCATGGAGTGAATTTTAAAACACAAAAACTCGATAGAGGGAGAAAGCTTAATTCAGTGAGAGTGGCAGGAGGGAGAAGAGGCGTTCATGCCTGAAGCTCTGCTGGTCAGAACATTAAAAACACAGATGCATGCTTCACTCGTGTCTGCCAAAAAATTGTATCCAGGAGCTGGTTGGTGTATATAGTCAAGCTGCAGATCAGTAAGCAATGGCACGTGTGCTACCAAGAGCGTGCATGTGGTTTGGAATGTCATGGGTTGTGGCTGCAGCTGTGAACTGAGGGTACAAAGCACTGCTCAGTGCCCCCATCTCTGCCCTTATTTCCAAAGACTGGCCTAACCACTCCAAGTGGGAAGAGAAGGATCACCATAACTCCTGGAACTGGCCTTCTCTATGACCTTTTCTGGTCCTGTGGTGTGTGTTCCAAAACCTCTAGTACATCTTGTCCAGTCTCTAAAGCTTTTATGCCTAAGCACGTCAGGTGGGTTTAACAGCTTCTTATTGAGTTTTACTTTATATCTGGGTTTGTTTTTAATGATTTTGTATGATGAGACTTTAAGGAGAGTGAGGGAGGTAATTTTACTTCAACTTAGTATTTTAATTTGACTGCATCTTTTGTGTAGGCCTGGAGAAAATTGAACAGCTACAAAATCATGAAAATGAAGACATCTACAAACTGGCTTATGAGATCATTGATCAGTTCTTCTCTTCAGATGATGTAAGTGTGTTACAGTTCTGACACCTGCCTTTGTAATCATTTGTTTTCTTTCATAAATGTGATTCAGGAGGGAGGCAGCAGCTCCAAAGCCTGGCGTTTGTTGGGTTGTTTTCCATGTGGATTTTTTAGTCTATCCAATTGACTGATGTGCATTTAGGGTACTGTTGCACGTTTCTAAGCCAAATATGCAGAATTATTTCAGGGCATTCACACTAAAAGGCTTATAAAATTTTAACTTGATGTCACAGCCTTTCTGAATAGTTGTTTGTAGGCAATAAGTAGAGTTTTCCAGCTTTTGAAATTCTTCATCTGTTTAAAGCAACAGGCATTGTCCTGATCTGTATTCCTGAGTGGTGCAGTCACACAGATTGCAGAAATAGTCACTGCATGTGAGCTGCTCTGGCCTTAAGTTGGTCTTGTATTATATGAAAGGTTGGTGTGCTTGCATAGATCTTGTGCCTTATGATTATGGATTCTGAAAAACTTGCCTTGTGTGTAGTCTAAGAGAAGCATAGAATGTCCACTGGCACCTAAAATATCATAGCACTGTAATAGTCATAGTGGCAATAGCATGGACTAGTTGCTTAAGTTTTGATGTGCTCTTCAACAATGTGATAAACATAGGGGTATTGTGCTTGGTTTTGCTTACATGTCACCTTCAATGAGATAAGGAGCATAGAGGAAACTATTTAAATGGGTTTTGAAGTCTGAAGGCTTGGCTGACTCATCACCATTCAGGATATGTCATGTTCTGCAACCGTGCTACTGGAGAGCACTGCTCAGTGGGTTGCTTGTTTATCTTAACACCTTTCTGCACTGTTAAGGTTCTGCACGTTTTGTTTATTATTATCACCAACCCTTCTGTTAGAAACCAACCCTTTGGTTTTGGAGTCTGTTAGATCTCCAAAACTTCATAGTAAACTTCAGATTCAGTGAAGAATGAGCCCTTATATGAACCTGCTGCATATCTTCTGTTGTTCATGATGAAGTGCCTAAAGGTCTGATACCTAATGTAAGCCTTATCTGTAGGGAATGAAACACTAGGCTAGGGTTAGGGTTAGAAGAACTAGTAGTTCTTCTAGCTGTCAGCTTCCAAGTTTGCTATTTCACATCTGCTAACCTACTTGCTGACTGGGAGTATTAAGTTCAAGATTCTGCTTAATAAGAAAAACGTTTTGAATGTTCTGATAATTTCAGAGGTGGGTACGTGTGCATCAAATGAAAGTGAAAACATGCTGATCAGGAATGTCACTTTCAGTTTAAACATGCAGTGTAAATCAAACAAAGGTATTAGATTTCTATGCAATTCAAATTATAAAAGATGCTCCCTATGCATAAAGGAGATATAATGTCAGTCTGCTTCATGCAGTGAAGGTTTTCTACTTGATTAGACGGATCTGGGGAGCACATAATTGCAGAAATGGTTGAACTGTAGAACATGCAAACGTTACCTACATTTAAGGTTCCTTTTTTTTTTATGCCAGTCTGTTTTTAAATGTAAGCAATAGGTCCTTTTTAGGAGCTCAGATTCTGTGTATATAGCAAGACTTGGAATTTAATACGTTGCCAATTTAGCAACCTGTGTGCTACCTACTTAAGCTGAAACTGCTATTTCAGCTCGCTCTTTAAGTATTACTGGCCTCTTTCTAGGACCAGTGACACTTCATAAGCTGTCAAATAAGCATGGTATGTGGCCAGCAGAATGCTTTCCAGTATTCTGCAGAGTGGAAACTTTTAAAAATGAGAGTACCAGGTGCCATGAAGTGTATCTGCTAAATCTGAAGCATTTCAGGTTAAATTATTTCATCATAATAGCACTCCCTGGTTGGGGGAGAAGGTTGCAAGAAAATGCAATGAAGGGGATAGCTGGAGTGACAGTTTGTTACTTCAGTGAGCCTGTCTTTCTGTTCCTTCTTATTATATTCTTGTTCTCTTGCAGATTGATGAAGATCCTAGCCTTGTACCAGAAGCAATACAAGGCGGAACATTTGGTTTCAATTCATCTGCCAATGTACCAGCAGAAGGGTTCCAGTTTTAGAGTGGTGTTTTGGAAGTTAGGTACAATGCAGCACTGAATAAAAACAAAAAAAAGGTTTGATCCATCAATCTTGGCTCATGGGATCCGCTGCTGCATTAAATCGGGAAAGAAAATGTGAAGATTTCATTTGGAATCACAGAAAAGCCCAAATGAAGTCAAGATGGCGAGTGGGTGCGAGTGAGAATGAGTGGCAAAATGTAATGAAAAACTTCACACTGAATGCTTATTTAGATTGTTCAAAGAAAAAGGGCTACAGGTCAAAGATCTTCAGTGCCTGAGAAGGAACAATGACTTACTAGAGCAATTGGGGGGAAATGCAGTACTACCATCATCAAGCCTTGTAAGCATAAGAGAATAGGATGCCCATATAAGTCCAAGGAGAATGAGCCCAGGCCTTGCTATGAAGCACCGTGTGAATGGACAGCATTGAATGAATGTCTGGACTCGATGCTGGGAGCCAGACTTGTTTCCAATACGGGGCTCTTCAGTCATGAAGCAGACTCCTAGTCCTGGAGTGGCGTGTGTACGAGAGTATGGTTGTGATGCTGTATGTGAACGCATGCAAGCTTGATTCGCCTTCAGGGGGCTGATAATAAAACCTAGTAAATCATCAAAATGAGTTCATAAGTGTTAACTTACACTGGACACAAAACCAAGACCGGTTTAGCAGCAGACTCTGGTTTACTCCTGCAGCCTGTGTTTCTTTTTTCTTTTCTTTTTTTTTTTTTTTTTTTTTTCCCCCTCCTTATTTTTCTTTCAGTTATTTTTAAGTTCTTTCCTGTATGGCTTATTAGTTGTTTGTAAAGTCAGAGTTTCAGGAAGGCTTCCCTGTGCATTTGCACCAGATGAATGTTTGATGTTATGAAAAGCTTTCCATATCATCAAAACTAATTTGTAGATTTTTTGCATGAAAAAGATCATACATTTCCCTTCAAATAGACTGTGTTGCAGTACACAAGTTACCATAATAGTAGAAAGCAGTAAAATGTGGTAATAAAATCTCATCCTTTTCATTTTCAAAGATAACATGAAGACCTTTGCATGTGGTAATCTACAGCATAGTTCATTTTTAGATTTTGTTGAGTCCTGTAACCAAATGTTTCCGTTGTGGTAGAATACCGTGCTGTGTTTCAATGTTACTTGTTTTCAAACTTTGTTTTCTATGAAAATGATATGGAAACTTCTAAAAATGGAATTTGGTGCATATGTACTGCCGAATAAAGACCGAAAAAGAGGTGTGAATAGATGTACAAATCAAGTCATGGTTTGAACACCTTTAATATGCCTAATCCAATTGTTTTAGACTCTTTTTATCTTAGATGTAGGCAGCCATGAACAATCTATTTTGAGCCACTTTAGAGAGAACTTTGTATTTTTAAAACTTGCACAAAAGCGATGCAAGTGTTTTTATAATTGGAGTAATGCCTCAGTTTTGAGGTTCTGCACACTAAATTCAAGGAGATGTTACAAATTTGTACAAAATGAACTCTTTATAAGGTGGCTCATTGTAGGAAATGCTGTGCCTTCCCCTTTGAGCACAAGTGTTGCATGAACAACAGTTTGCTATAATAAAACATACCAGATTAGCCACCATTAGCATCTATATCTACCTTGTGTTTTAAAATCAACTGGTAATTCTGAAACACTGTAGAATGGATAAAGATTATTTTGTGATCATAACTCTTTGTTGGACTAGAGTATTTTTGCAGCATTCCTTGTCATCAGAAACATGGTTAAAGTTTAAAACTAGAAGCAGCGGAAACTAGCTTGTGAAATTTATCCAAGTAGAGTGCAGGCTAGGCTGTCTTGGGGAAATAAACATTAAATCTTGCAACAGTATTGTACTGAGCGTGTCTTTTTGTGTGTTCAGAAGGCGCTGAAGATGAGTGCTGTGCTGCTGTTGCTCTGCTCCACCGTCTCACTCTGTTATGTGCCGTACATCAGTGCACCATGCACTGTGCTACGTGGGCTTGGCACAGTGGTTTTTGGTGTAAATTCCTGCTTTGCCCAATTATGCAGCGTGTGTTAGCTGAAGTAGGGGTGTTTTTGTGCAAAATCAAACTACCTCAGAGGGGAGGGGAGAGTTGGCATGATGTGTGTGTTTGTTCGGAGAAGCTGGTGTGCTGTAAGTGAAATTTCACTCAGGTCGCACACGAGGTCTGTGGTGTGATGTGCTGGAGAAGATGGCTGCCTTGTTGGTTGAGGTGAGAGGAGAACAGCTGTTTGTAGCAGTGTGTGGGTTTGAAGCAGGAAGAAAAGGAAGCAACGCTGTGGCAAGGTCCTACAGCTCTGCTGCCCCTTCCTGCTGTTACATTCTTGCGTAGAATCTCCTTGACCCTCTGCTCCTCTACCCTCAGCCCGCTCCTTTTTACACGGAGCGTTCTCAGTGTTTTATTTAAAAATCCAAAAAGGCTGAAGCAGGAAATTCACCTGCTTCTCAGCACATCCTGTCCCTACTCTGTACGCCAAAATATTGGAAGGTTGAATAGCCCAGCATCCACTGGGGGGCAGCAGTCGGAGTGAATTTGTTTGGCTAATGCCTTTTTTTGTTTTCCTCCCCAAAAAAGCTTTCGTTTAAGGTAATTGTATTCCCGGGGAAAGGGGAGGTGTGGGATGAAGGTTTACTTCTGGAACACCAATCAGGTGGTAAAAGCTTGGAAACGGGAATGGCAGAGATACCAGAATTACCTGAGGGTGCAGCCCTGTCACTGGGCGATGGCCACAAGTCAGTTTTGTGTCTGGAGGGTTGGATGTATTTTAGCTCATAACATTATAGAATGATGGAAATGCTCCTTTGACAGAGGGAGCTCAGGTGTTTCTTTTTTACCAGTAGAGATACGACATGAAGTGCCCTTCTCAAGAATGAGAATGCTCAGAATGCTGCTCTGTGATATTTGGATTGTCATCGTGCAGTTGCTAACTTCTTAATCCCAGGTCAGCTCTAAGAAAAATAACCAAGTGTGCAGAGGTGGGGTCACACATTAGCCTGCTTTCTCAGTATTGGGAAATACAAAAAGAGCTGTTAAGCCGTATTTAATATAGTAGAGGTTTAATAAACAAATGAAAGATCAGAAGTTGATTTCTAGCATAAGCTATTCCAGGCAGGCTTTTAATTCCAAGGAGCAGCATTGTAAGACAAATAGCTGCCTGGGGTTTTAGGGCTGGAGTTAGCTGATGTAACCAGGAGGAATAGCTCTGTGAAGGATGTTAGGCTTCATCTGGACGCACAGCCTAAAAGAAGTTGACCCTATTTCTTTCTCTCCCGTTCCTGGATGAGGAATAGCTCCTGGCTGCGTGAAGCCTTTCAGCCTCGGGGAGCCACTTGTTGGATGCATTGAAGCTTGAACGGGGAAATACCTTTCCTGTTTTCTTTGTGCAGCTGTATCATCTGATGGATCACAAGCAGCCTTGGTGAGTTGTCTGCTTCTGCTGTTTTGGTCACGGAATGAGTTGGTTTTGCTAATTAAACTGTGGCTAAGATAACTTAGTCCTGAGTAAGAGAAGCTGATCTCTCCAGTGAGGAATCCTCTTTTACTCAGTCTCAAAACCCTCATGGAGTAAAAAAAGCTGTGGATGTGCAAGGGAGAAAGAAGAGTGGCATTTTCTTACTGAAAGTGAAGAAATCTGCGTGTATTTGTTTACAACTCCTATCATATAGTTTATTGCTTAAATTGCTGAATTACTTCTGCTGTTTTATAATTAAGAATGTCTTCATGTTAATACTTGTAGACTTTGCCACTTTTAACTATAAATGTTTCCTCAGCTCTGCATGTCACCAAATTACTGGCAGGAATGTTGGTCACAAGGCTGGAAGCAATTACAGAAGTCATGCATCTGGATCAAATAGACTTTATGAAAGGGAACTTAGTAGCAGAAAATGTGTTGAGTTTACAAACTCTTGGTAATAGCAAGTTTTAGCCACTGTCAGAGTAAAACTAAGAAGGCACGTGGTTTATTGAAAGAGTTAACATTGCTTTAGTACCTACAGAAGAGTGACTGGAAATTGAATTTCCATAAAGAAATTCCATTATTACTTGTAAATCCCTTGAAATGGGGTTGCTGTGTTTATTCTGCTGCTTTGGTGTGCTCCAAAGCTAAAAACAACTTACCTACAACAGTTTCAATAGCTTGAAGAAAATATTTTTGATCGACTTGAAGTGACTATAAAATAACATTGAAATGACAGATGTGGGAAGCTCTGACTGCAGTCTGATCTGTAAATACGTTACAGAAGTTGTGCAACTCAATGGAAAAGCATGTGCTTGTTGTCAGACTGAGTACTGGCAGCACTAGGTAGCAGGAGAAAGCACGTGTGTCATTCTTAGAATAGGGTTTTTTTCAAAGTAAAGCTTGCAGCATCTTGAGAATTTCTAGTTCTCGTAAGTACTTGAGAATAAACTGGCTACAAACCACTGTATGCTGTTATTCAGATCATCAGCTGTTTTGTAAATTGTTGGCAAAAGCTCCCTTGTTTGAGCTGCTTCTTTAGTAACTTGTTCCCTGAGACTTTTGAGGGAGTAGTGGAAGGAATTAATATATATCTATCTATATATTCTGTATTATGTAGTCTCTGTACCCTGGAAACAAAGTCAATTCCAGGCTGAGTGTCCATGCCACTGGGACTCTTTCAGGCACTGTAGGTTACTAGGAGGTCTTTGGTGTAGTTGCAGAGGATTTAGAATAGGTTTCTAAGTAGCAGTGCATTTCTACCCATCAGGACACAAACAGGAGTTTTGAGGAGATGGAGAAGTTTCTCTCAAGAAACATGACATTCTCAGCTTGGTTGTATTGTGAACCCAAAGAAGGGTTTCCTCATGACTTAAAATTTAAGGGGGTTAACTGCTGAATGACTCCAGATGACTCTCTTTGTACCAAGACGCAACTGATACCTGTGTTGCTGTGCCTCTGTTGTGCTTGTGGGCTTACCCACTTTGCACTACCTGTTCATCTTCAAAACTTTGTTAGCACTGTCCTGTTTCTGCGATCTGAATTGGATGGACTGTGATTTATCGGGCTGTTAGTGCAGCAGGCCTCCTAGCACAGTGTGAAGGGAGCTGTCTCAAGCTATTCTTTCATAAGGGCTCTGGCATTAGCGCACTGCAGGCTGTCAGCTGTGCAGATAGAACAGTGACCCACTGTCTTGCTCATAACAATTTGTCAGCTGCAGAGTTCTGCTCAGAGGTGCTACTTGTTCCCAACATTTCAACTGGTGAAGGTTTGCTAGCAACAAAACATCCATGTGGCTGAAACTTTTTCTACAAATCAGACTGAAGGGGAGAATGATGTTTTGGATTTAAAGATTTCTGTATCTGGCTTAAATTGTTTTTTTCTTTTTCCTTGCTCAAATAGTAAATAAAATCTTCAGGGTGACATCTCTGTAACAAAAAGGGGGTTACTGTCTCTGTGGTCTGTCAGTGAATGAGCACGTGCTGTATCCAAGCTCATCTCCGACTTACTGTGAGATGTGCTGCCAATAGCTGCTCTGTGAGAAACCATTTTCCGGGTTGCTCTTGAGGTGGGTTCTTACTGAGCCCACGTGGCTGCTTGAGCATCCTGCAAATGGATGAGGCCACCTCTGTGATGGGTGCCTGAGTTCTGCAGCTGCTGGGTGACGTGGATGTAGGGGTAGGGGACAAGTTGAACGCAGTGTGCAGGTACACGTTGGTGGTACTGTCAGCAGGCAAAACGAGCACAAATGGCAGGGATCTGCCCACCTGTAATTAAAGAAAATACACAATTTAGATGATTTTGTCAGTGCAAGCACTTCTAAGATCTGATGATTTCAACTCAGGCAGATTTCTGGCTTGACACGAGGTGCTTTGTGCCTGCATCCTGTGATGTGTTCCTGGGCATGTGAGCAAACCAAAGGAACGCTGTGAGCAGCACTTCTGCTTTTGGACAGGTGGAGTAATGGAATGCAACATGTAATGAAGGTACAGAGCTTGGGAAAGGAATGTGCCCTGTTTGGACAATAAGAGAAAAAATAATTTGCAAAACAAATCTATAAAATACTGCCATCCATACGGCAACAACACCAGTATGCAAAATTTCTCTGGAAATATAACCAGGGTAAAACGTTTGTGCTGCTTTAACCTTTATTAGCTGCTTTGGTTCCACAAACCCAAGATAAATGGAACCCATTGCACGAAGAACCGTGTCTCTTATTTTGTCATTTCGACTTCCTTTTTCTTTCGCCCCGCTTTGGGCTCTGTGTCACTCCTGGGCACGACGTCTTTTGGAGGACCGCTGCTGGGACGCCTTGGGGCGCGGCAAAGGGAGCGCGGATGAGAAACCGTAGTTTGCCTGAGGGGCAAATTGCGATTTGCGCTACGGAGACTTAGGGGGGGGGGGCGCTGGTAACGGCTGCCGCCCGGCTCCGCCCCGCGCGCCGACCGTTTACTTTCGAACGGCGCAGCCGTTGGCGCTGCAGCGCATGCGCGGCTCGGCGCTCTGAGGAGAGCGGCGGAGCCGTGAGGGGCGGCCGGCGCGGTGAGGTGAGGGAGAGGGCGGGAGGCTGGGGGCTGCGCGGGGCGATTACCGGCGTGCGGGAGGCGCGGGGTCCTCACCGCCCGGGGCTCTCGGCTCGGGCGAGAACGAATCTGGGCCGCTCGCGGAGCCCGAATCGAACCCGCGGCGTATCGGCCGGGCGGGCCGCGTCGTTCCGTCGCTGTGGGACTGCGGAGCGGTCGGGGCTCGGCTGTGCGGGCCGCGTTTCCCGCGCAGCCCCGCCGTGCGCCCGCAGCGAGAGCCCTACAGGACGCAGGCGCCGTTCCGCTCGTCGGCCCTCGGCTCCCCCTCCGTACAGCCCGGTCACCTCGGTGGTTTTTGATGTATTTCTTTACGTTGAAAGCGCGCTCGTTTACAAACTGCTCGGCACGGCGGCGTTTGACCCGCGGGATGCGACCTCCGCCTCCGGGCCGCGCTCCTCCCGGCCTCTGCGAGGGCCGCCGAGCTGGGCCGATGGCGCGGAACGGCGACGGAGCGCTGCTGCTACGCGGCTGTGGGATGTCGGTGGCACCGAGTCGTGTCCCGTCCTCGCTGGGATGCGAAGTTTGGAACTGTGCTGTTGGGTTGGCTGCCGGCGCTGTTACCTTCGTTGGAACCCGGCAGGCACCGCTCGTCCCGATGAACCAACGCCGGGCTGCAGCTCAGCCTGTTGTGTTTGCTGAGCGTACGTTCTGCCGTGCTTCAGCACGGCGGTGACCTTGAAGTGGAAAATACTGCCTATGTGTCATTTAATCGCTTATTTATTTCCTTAACGCAAACTTGGGCTTCTACACTAGTGATGCAGGGGGGTAATGCGGACCTCTGTAACATCAGGAGGCAGCATTTCTGGTGCTGGTTTACCTTGGCTGCAGTGAGTTGTTGGCAGCACCGAACTCCTGGGGTCAGACTGGAGCTGGCTTAGGTTCACGGCTGCTACCTGGTGCCAAATTCACCTTTTAAGAGTTTATCAGCTTATTACAGCTGACAACTGTTGTAGAATGGTTACTTATTTATCAACACAGCCATATTCTAGATATAGTAGTTACTGGACGAGTGCTTGTATAATTAATGAGATGAGCAGTGGCTGACTCTCTAGGTCAGGAATGCAGTGTTGTCATTGAATACACTGCATTACTTCGTTCCATCTAAATGAAAGCTTGCTTTTAGAATCAAATAAATTAGATCCTTGAAGTCTGTACAAAGAATGTCAAACTAATGAATTTTAAAACATAGCTGTGGCAGATATGCTATATTACATGCTTTTATCTCGTCTACGGCATTGCTAATTACAGGAGGGTAAGCTGACAGCTGCTCATTGGGCCTGCTATTGCTGCAAGCTTTCAGAAACCCAGCATGCTCCCAGCATGGTTATACTTGCAATTTTAACGTGTCTTCTAGCCTGTAATTTGCTTACACTGTTTGGCCCTCCTGTGATGAATGTGTGTTTAGATGAATACATTTGCTACCAAAGCTCTGGACAGGAAAACATTTCCCGCCTTTACAGAATCACAGGGTTGGAAGGGACCTCAAGGATCATGAATCTCCAACCCCCCCACCAATGCAGGGCCACCAACCTCCCCATTTAATACCAGCCCAGGCTGCCCAGGGCCCCATCCAACCTGGCCTTGAACACCTCCAGGGATGGACGAGGCATCACTGCCTCTCTGGGCAGCTGTTCCAGCACCACCACTCTCTCTGTAAGGAATTTCCCCCTGGCACCTTCATCCTGCCTTTTATTTTTATCCTGGGAAAGTTTTTCTTGTGCCTTGCTGAACTGCTGCTAGGTCTGGATCTCCCTTCCTTGGCGTTTCCCGTCTCTGGCAGCCGCCTCCTGCCTTCCTTCTGCTGGTGCCCATGTGCAGTCTGCTTTCCCTGCAGCACATGGGGGCATTTGGTGCCTTCCTGGGCAGGGGCTGTGCAGGAGCCCCACACTGAGTCCTGGCTGCCCTGCCTGTGTGTGCTCACAGGAGTTACAGGAGCTGCGTAACAGTGCTAGAGGAAAGCAGTCTGTTTCTTCCTCTACTTCTGTGAGAGCAAGCAAATACTTTGCAGTTAGAAGTGTCTTTGAAGATTATTTTGATCTTGCACTTTATCTCATGCGTATTGTTTGTGAGGAACGTTTCCCTTTTGTAATGGTTCATTGGAAGGGAACTACTGCCCGGGACTTAGGAGAAATAATGGTTGCAACATAAGAAGTCTGTGGGTTTTGTATTTCTGCTGGCTCCACGTATGTAGGAGAAAATAATGAGGATGCTGCTAAGGATTTTTTTTCCCAACCATGAATGAAAACTTAAAATTCAGCAAAGTGGAAGTGGTGTTCCCAAAATTGACGATAAGTTTATTAGTGTGCACACTTAAATGTATTTCCCACAGTAATTGACTCTCAGAAAATAATGCATGCAGTCAGTGAAAGCAGATTTGTTTGGCTTGGCTGTGTTATTGGCATGCTTTAGTTCTGGTGTCTGGGACATGGCTTACAAATGTGAAATGTGCAAATCAGGAGAACCTCAGGGTGCCACAATGACTCCATGGAAAAGCTGGAGAGTAAAGATGTGGCTCCCACACCTTGTGTAGGAGCCCTGGGAGGTTTAGTTTTACACCCAGTACCTTGGGAGTATTTGAGTTTTTTATCATAGTTTTTTTTCCCCGTTAGCAGTGAACATGTCGGTGTAGCTTAGGTTGTTGGTTATTACATTTCTTTAGGAGAATGAGACAACTTTACAAGATAGTGAGAAGAAAAATCAGACTTCTTTTTCTTTTGCAGGACATGCATCAGTTTGAGGAAGAGCTGACGTGCTCCATTTGCTACAGCCTGTTTGAAGACCCGCGCGTCCTGCCTTGTTCGCACACCTTCTGCAGGAGCTGCCTGGAAGGTGTCATTCAGCTCTCGAGCAACTTCTCCATTTGGAGGCCCCTGAGAGTTCCTCTCAAGTGCCCCAACTGCAGGAGCGTGGTTGAGATCCCTGCCTCGGGCACCGAGGCGCTGCCCATCAACTTTGCGCTGAAGGCCATCATCGAGAAGTGCCGCCAGGAGGACGGCTGCGACGTGGCCACCTGCAGTGAGCACTACAGGCAGCCCCTGAACGTCTACTGCCTTCTGGACAGAAAGCTCGTGTGCGGCCACTGCCTTACGATAGGGAAGCACAACGGCCATCCCATCGATGACCTTCACAGCGCCTACCTAAAAGAGAAGGAGTCTTCTGGGAAGATTCTCGAGCAGTTAACTGATAAGCACTGGTCCAACGTGTGCTTGCTTATTGAAAAGCTGAAAGAACAGAAGTCGCAGTGTGAAAGCGTCGTACAAGATGATAAGAAGGCAGTGGTGCAGTACTTTAAGAAGCTCAGTGAGACACTGGAACATAAAAAACAAGTTCTGCTGGCTGCGCTGGATGAAATCAACAGACAGATTTTAGAAGAATATGAACCTCACATTGAGAACTTGAAAAAAATAAGAGAAGAACAGCTGGAATTAATGTCACTGAACACTTCTATTCAGAAGGAAGAGTCTCCACTCGTTTTTCTTGAGAAGGTGGACAATGTGCATCAACGTATCAAAGCTCTGAAAGAGAAGGAGCTGCCCGATGTTAAAGCCGTGGAGATTTACCCGCGGGTTGGACACCTGCTGAAGGACGTGTGGTCTAAAACTGAAGTCGGTCAGATCAACAAGATCCTGACTCCGAAAATAAAACTGGTTCCAAAAAGGAAACTGCGCAGCAAGAGCAGTGAAAAGGAAGGAGGAAAACCTGAAGAACTTCTCCAGGCTGCAAATCCTCTGTCAGTCACCGTTATTCTCACAGTAATCATAGCGATAGCCGTGCTCTCATTGCACAAACCGCTGTCAGGGGTTGTCATTGAATCCATTCCCACTTATATTTCAGATTTCTTGTTCTTTGTTTATCAAGATTTCTGCACCTGGTGGCAGAACGCAGTGGATGTGGTGTGCCAGAAATTGAATTTACTGGCAGAGTTTTTAGGGAGAATTGCTCCTATTTGACTGTGTCAGCAATCAGAAAGAAACACCACGATGTCTTTGAAGTTTCAATTGAAAAGCCAAGTTGTTAGAACTGTGCTTTTTCTTTCTTTTCCCATATCCTTCCTTTTTCAGTACAGCTTTCCTCTCAGTTCACAGTTAGGCAGAGGAGAAGGTTCACGAGGAAGAGGTTTTTCTTCTTCTGCTCACGCGTAAGGGGGGAAAGCAGGTGTTTAAACTGGAAGCCATCAGAAAGCTGCAGTCAGCTTACAAACTGTAAGTGGCAGAGAGCAATCTCCAGTTGGTGGGGACTTCTTGAACGCCTACTTTGGAAGAAAAATAATGGTAGCATAAATGGAAATATTTTTTTAATAGAAGCAGTACAGCATGAAAGGTTTTTAAAGCACCTGACCGCTCACTGGCTGCTCCCAGACGAGTCACTCTGGTCTGGTGTGCGCAGAGCTCTTGAGCTGCCTTTTATTGATCTCTTTTTAACTGACGTGGCTGTAGGCTTGAAGTCATGTGTTCATGGACCTGGTTTTCATTTTGTGTGTTCTTGGCTGCTGTGACACGACCTGTTTACAGAGCAGTATCTGTGGTACCTGTGGTGAAATACTGCACATGGCTTTTAGTGCCAGCTGTGCACAGATCAGGTATTGATTCTCAGTGCTCATAATGATCCTTGACTTTCTGCTGAAAGATTTAGTGTGCAGTGGAAATAGATACATACTGCAATAAGTACCGAAACTCCCTTCAAAATCAGCCACATAAGCATTTCAGATGTTATCAAGAGTCCTTAAACAACTTGAAAATGAGTGTAAATCTATTTCTAGCTTTTCAGCACAAATGATGGAGGCTTTAACTTGATGTAGAAGAAAAGCCATAGCATCTTGTTCTGCAGTCAAATAATTGGTAACATGCTTCTCTTCCTGGGATGAGGTACTAAACTCACAATGAAAGCAGATTTTGACCTGCAGTTATTAACGGATTGATTACAGGCTGGAATAATTAATTGTTGCAGTTAGAGCTGCAGAACACAGATAAGTTTGCAAAAATGAATCTGTGTCTGATTTTGACTCAGTGCAAATAATGGTATGTTCTAGCACAGCAGCATTCCTTGGGCGCTTTGTTCTTCAAAGATACTCAAGCTGTTGAACTGGTGATGTAACTGTGAGGCCAGCTTTCACAACGCGGTGTTTTGAAACCCTTGTGCCAGCCCAGACCTGCCTGCCCTACCAGCAGGTGCTGCCGGGGGGTCCTGCAGAGCAGCAATTGCTGCCACTGGTGTCAGTGAGGGCTGAGAGCAGGGCTGATGCTCAGGTGTGACTCTGCTGTATTCCTGAAGCCGAGGTAAAATCCTAAGCTTATCGGTGTCCTCATATGATGGTGTTGGTAAAACAACCTCACCAAGTGGTGGCTGTGCAGCAGCCTTCTCTGCAGCGTGGTGGTTCACGTTGCTCAGGTTGGACCGAAATGTCAGTGCTGAGCAGAGCTTCGGAGGAGCAGGCATCTGCCCTGCCTGCCTCTGGTTTGTGCCTGTAGCACGAGTGATGGCAGGTCCCACTGTGCTGCTGGACTGTGAGCTCGCTGTAGGTGCAGCCTGGACTGGGTGAGCGCCCAGTGGAACTGACGGTGGGCTCTGTGTCTTTCTGTCCAGCCCTGCTGGATGGCTGCCACCTGCACATTGACTCTCACAAACTGGTGCTATGTCTGCTGCCACACAAATCTGCTTTTTTTATTTTCACCACTTTTACAAATCTTACGGAAAGTTTATAATGCAATTTTATTTTTCCAGATTACGTGAATTTATAAGATGTCTTTATCACTGATTGATAGAAACGTTTAGTACTCGTACTTCTCGGTGTACCATATATTTTAATAAATTTGCATATTCTTACATTAGAGTTGGCTAACACCTTGATTTCCTCCCTGATCACTTGCCCTCTAATCCTGGACAGCTGGAAGCACTTGGGGACTGGACTGGGGCTATGAGACAGAGCAGCAGGGCTCGCTGGAGCTAGTATGTGGGTATTAAACAGTGCTTGATTTGATTTCTTCTCTTCCTCTTGCCCGGTTTTTTGTAGCACAGACCATTTAGAGTCTCTAAAAGAGTTTGGCCAGTGTGGATTTCACGTTATTTGCATTGTTTACTGCAGGTCTGCTTGGGAGGCTGCAGGAGGTGGGCTAACTCTGGCTGAGTGCGAGGCGCAGGCTGAGCTGCTCTCGCTCCCTCTCAGGAGGACAAAATACTGCAGAGAAGGTCATGGGTCAGGATGGGGGCAGGGAGAGCGCTCAGCAGTTGTGGCCAAAACAACTTCACCTGCAGGAAGATTAATTTATTGTCGCTTCGTACTGAAGGATGTTGAGAACTGAATACTGCAACTGCCATAAATCTATCCTCAGGCTCTGTCAAGGTCATGAGATGGGAGAAACTACAACTGCACTGCACTCGTGGCTGACATTAGGATGGGGCAGAGAAAGGCCTTGCATTTTCTTTCTTTACTGTTGATTTTCACTGCTGCTGATCTGTGTTCTGAAAATGATCTGACAGTAACCAGGATGGCTTTCTGGCGCCAATTCAAATAGTCTGCGTGCACGTTTTTATTCTGTGCCTGTTAATTTGCAGCTGGTGATATTTGGTGTAATCACTGTGGAGAGCAGCTTTCACTGTAACGTTAAACATGGGCTTTTCCCCTCAGTTGAAAGCCTGTTCAGTTACACCACCTCCAGTTTGGCAGGGCAGCTGTGCTGGTGAGCCTTGCCCTGCTGCCAGGTGAGTGCAGGCTGGTACAGGGAGCGCAGCCTCGCGGGCACCAGCACCACTCAGCATCTTCAGTTGTGGGGAGGCTTCAGGGTCTGTGCGCTGTGTGACAGGACTGTGACAAAGTGCAGGGAGCTTGAAGTGTGCTGAGTGGGAGAAGGTGAGAGGGAAATGTAAACGAGACAAATAGCACAGGAAAGAGTGAACTGTCATCCTAGAACTGAGCAAAGCAAGCTTTTCTACTATGGGCATCTTACAAGAGCGAGCACATCAGTGACTGGTTATCTTTTTCTTTAAGGAAATAGGCGGATAACAGCTGCTGGCTTAAGCTAACAGAAGTGACATGAAGCAGCACTTAGGACACGACTGTTTTCTGTCAAAAGGAGATAGCAGCATACAGCAGTGAGGAACCTCATCCCAAGGTAGGAGACGCTTCCAGCTCAGGAGCTGGTTATTAGTGACCACCAGATATTTGACCCGACTTCTGGAGTGCAGTTCCAGCTCCTAAAAATACAAAGACAACTTTCAAAGCAAAACATGGGTACAGAAGTGCTGACACCACAATGATGGAAACAGAGAGCTTTAATGGGTAGGCAGGCATCAGGAATAGGGCACAGATTTAAATGTTCTTACCTCTACAAGTGAAAACATGTTAGCCCTCTGTGAAACGGTGAGAGCAAGCAGGTGAGTCGCTGTGGGACTGATAAACTGTAAGTGTACAACAGCCACAGGAAGAGAGAAGTGTTGTCCTGCCTGTGTAATTACAGGAAGACAGAGAAGGGAACAGCCAAACCAGTTCAGTGCAAAATGTTCCCAGTGTCTGATTCCTAGAGCACAGCTTTATGAGAGCAGCCAGAAATAGAAGTCAGTCCGTTCCATTTTACAGCCTTATTAATGCAAATTATTTTATATATTGACTTCACTTACTGGAACACACACATTAAAATGCTTTGGTATTTAAATAAGGATGCTCTTTGTTGGTGTTTGAAAGCAATTTGCTTCCTTTAGTACGCAGAGGGGGAAAAAAAGTCCTGAATTGACATAATAATTGAAATAATAGCTTTTATTTTAATCAGTTCATATAATTAAGACCCATAGAGACTGTATGATAAAGAATGCCATTTATTTAGATTTGTTTTTATTAACAGTCTAAAGAGACTCAAATCTAAAGAGAAAAATCTCAAAATACAAAAGTATATTTAAAAAAATACAGTAAGCAGCAGCAAGAACATTAATTTACATGGGAAAGTTTCTGTTTTTTCATTCACTCTGGTTTTGAGCCACGCTGTGCTCAGCAATGCCCAGCTCCATCAGTCCTTTGGCTGCAATGACTTTGGGGTTTGTTGCCACACTCTTGGTGGTGTTGTGAGTCTTGTAAATCCCAATCAGCCTGTCTGCAATCTCAAACATGTTGTTCCGCAGGGAGATGATGATGAACTGCGCGTTTTTTGTCTGCTCCTGGAACAAAAGGTATTCATATGAGCTCAGGGCTTTGGGGAAGCTGTGCTCTTGCATGGTCTCCACATCCAGCTTTAAGAACTGCTGGCACATCCCTGTAAATGCTCGGTGCACAATGCAGTCCAGCAGCTCTGCAGGTGCTGATCTCAGTCGTCTGCTTTTGGCTGAGTCCTGCCTTGGCTTTCAGCACAAAGCATTTCAACTGACTCAAGCAACAGCTTTCCCCCTTTTTTTTTTTCCTTTCACATGACCTGTTCAAGTGAACTGAATTAAATAAAAGCATACGTAAATGTTTGCAGAATTTCAGTTTGCCCCAGTCTTAATGTGAATTTCATTAGCTTTCCTGAAGGCTGCTTGACTTACCTGAATTGTCCTAACGAGGGCTCCTTTAGGAATGGAAAGGAAATGAAACCTATCTCCACACGCTGAGAACTGGGAGAAGCAAACCCCTTGTTGAAGGGGCCAAGCTCTGAAGAAGGAAAGCAGTTCTGTGATCCTGAGGCAGGATGGCACAAGATAACCAAACATCTACCTTGGCTGGTGCTTTCAAAATAAAGCCACCTTTTTTCCCTTAGTAACTCAGTGTAAGGTCACACGTGTGAAAACACAAGTACTGTGGAAGCAAAGTTTAAGGTGCTTCCCTAGCTTGAAGCAGTTAATCTTTGGCATTTCCAGCCTGTTCCCAAACTGGGTTATACTTTGAGTAATTCTGAAAATTTAAATTTTAAATTAGCAGGAACTGCAGCGATGTAAATGCTCGCTTGGCTTAAATATGGTGATGATAGAAATATCAGTGCTTTTCCTTTCAGGCTTTCAAAAAAGACAGATCCAATAAACCTGCCTGCTGCAGCCTGAGAGAATGAAAGGCCAGTAAAAATCCTTTGGCTTTGGCTGCACCTCAGAATGAAGTCATGAGCCTGGATGTGTGAACGCCCTACCAGGAGCAGCTCAGCTGAGTGGGGCTGATCAGTTTGAGTGAAAGTAAGTTTTAAAGAGAAAGGAGTTGCAGCAGGGCTGTGCTGAACTGCAGCGCTGCTGGCAAACTCTTTGCTCTTTAGACGGCTTTCCAAAACGTGCAGTGAAGATGTAGGGAATAATTACAGATCTTCCATTAGCAACCCAACTTCAAGAAAGCAGCAGTCTAGAAAAAAACAGGCAGAAAACTACATTCTGAGCAGCTTTCTGCACATCTGCTTAGCACAGATGTTAGAAAACACTGCGTCTTACAAAGACTGAATCTGGCTGTAACTTCGTTACCACTTTCCCTTTTTGTGGCAGAGAAGGCACAGGTTGCACTGCAGTAGCTGCCAGTACTTACGTATATGTAAAATGCTACGATGGATACATTTTTGAAGTCAAGTGCTGCATCGATCTCATCCATAAAATACAGAGGTGTTGGCTTGTAATGATGAAGTGCAAAAACTAGAGCCAGTGAACTGAGAGTCTTCTCTCCTCCTGATAAGTTAAATATCTTCTTCCAGCTTTTCTTGGGAGGCCGAACGCTGAAACAAAATCAGTTTGTAAATTACTCCTGCTCATGAATCAAGGAATAGGCCGTGCTGACGAGCCAGCCACAAGGCAGCAGGGAGGTCGTGGAGCAGCTCCCTGGGCACACAGCCACGTGTAGCTGCTGCCTGCCTGGGCTGGAGCTGCTGTGACACTCGTTTGTTCTCTGTGGGACCTGCAACATTGAAGAACTACTATTTCATTATGTTTCTAAAGTGTTGTTCTATTCTTAAAGTAATGAACATACTGTAGGGCTGTTGATGGCAGAACCATGTCTGCTTGCCACTGTGATCTGACACGATTCCTCGGGCAAATGAAATGGTGTGGGAAACAAGAAACCTGGAACATCGCTTTGAAATCAAAGCTTTCTAACTGTTGTTTGTTAGTTCTGTGTTTCCTGAAGTGAAACGAATATTACTCAGTGCTAAAAGGTTGTGGCTTCTGTGAGTATCTTGCCAGTATTTGCCAAAAGATGGGACTGCCATGGTTAGCTGTGAAGTTTACTGTAAAAATGGGTTTTCAAAAGGCAATACAATGCCGAGGAATTGCAGCCACAATGCCAAGTATTTTCACATACCTGAACATGATTCCCTCAGAGAAGGGATCCAGGCTGTCTACGAGTTCTAACTCAGCATCTCCTCCCAAAGTCAGCATCTGGTAGTTCTCCTTCAGTTTATTTGTTATTACATTAAATCCTGCCATAAATTCATTTAGCCTCTGCTTTCTGAGATCTTCAAAAGCTTGTCTAAATCTGTCTCTCTCATTGGTAATGTCATCCAATTCAGCCACACGTTTTAAGTACAGCTCCTCCTGTAAAGAACAACAATGAAACACAACAAAAGCAAAGTGCAGTTAAAGAAGCTGCTTCTATTTTAGATTTTATGCCACTTTTCTTTCTACCATTTGAAAACTTATTTTTCCCAAAATGACCAACAGCCTTGAAGTAAAAAGGAGCTGAGAACAAACCCTCCCTCTTTTTGCTGTTCACTTCTAACGTGGACTCCCTCAGCCATTTAATTAACTTGAAATTGTAATTAACCAATGAATGCCTACTTTAGTAGCTCTCTGCTTCGGGTAATCTTACAGCTCTGCCCATAAGAGCTGTGGGCAGTTGGCAGCTGTGGGCAGAGCAGCTCTCAAGCACTCTGGAGGAGCAGCGCAGAAAAGCAGCTCCCATCTGCATTTAATCAACCTGTCTCAACAGCTACAGATGTCTGCTTGACACCATCTGACAGCACGGGGTCACTGCCTGTCTTTATGTGTCAGCAGTCAGTGCGTAAAGGTTTTGCCTTCCTCCCCTGGGATGAGGCAGCACTGGGCAAGAAAACCTGAATAAACCGATCCTTAAAAAGCCAAACGTGTTTTGGACGAGGCAAAGCCACGCTGCTGTGCAGTATCAAAGCAATGAATCTGCTGCATGGCAGTAGCAGAGCTTTACCTTCCTCCTGTACTCTGCAATAGCACCAAGGTTGGGTTTCATTTCGTGGCACTGTGCTTCCAAGAGAGCTATTTGATTAGTGATAACGTCCGGATCCTTGATAGCCTCAAGCTCTTCTTGACTGAGCACTGGGAGCTCTTCGGGTGGCTTATCTTCTATGGGATGCAATGATAATTTTGATATCTAAAAATCAAAATCAGTTACTAGAAATCTAAAGATGACATCAATTATCACACGAACATGCTTCCAAAATAAATATTTTTGGTGTTAGTAGACACCGAACCTTCCAAGCATTCAAAACTTCTGCGTGCCAGACAACAAACGCTGCATCCTGTTGTTTTGTGCCTGAAAATTTACTCTCAGAAATGGATGTTTCTGTGCATGGAGCAGTAGCAGGCAATGTGGGTATCATCTCTGCTTTCCTCATCCTTGAAGTTTCTTTCTACCATTTGAAAACTTTTTGAGAACAAACCCTTTTAATTTAATTTAATACCTTGTATTTGCAAGATTGAAAAGCTGCTGAACACCACTGCTGAGCAGCTGCTCTAGCTGTCCTCAAAGGAGCAAGGATGCAAAGAGCACTGCAGGATCATCTGCTGGTCTACATCTTATCTGGCCTTTTCCCCTGGATGTCTCCCTGTGCACACACCGTGTTTGTGCACTTTGCATAGGTCATGAAGAACAAAGCAAAGCCAGCCCCAGCCATTGCCTCTGACTGACTGTGCACTCAGGGAGCCCATGGGCAAAGAAGTCAGGTTTCTGAGCAGAATTGCTTCCAGAAGAATTAAAAACCATTCCCAGCTGATTGAAGACGCTCCTGCTGTAATTTGTCTTGTTTTAAAGAACAGCTTAGTGGATACAGCGCTGAATGTTCTCCATTTCCTACTCTTTGCTTCTCTCACCTTGCTAAGAAGGGTTTTTTTGTTGTTTTTTTTCCCCCAGTATCTACTGAGAGAACAGCCAGGCACAGAAAACCCCTTCGTTGGTATTTATTGCCTACTATTTTGCCTTTGTTGCTTTTCATTGCTCTTAAACAGCACTACATCAGTTACAGTTACCCCACCATTCTTTCATAAAGAAAAAACGTGGAAAGCCAGAAGCTAAATCACTTCATTCATGACATCCTTTTTTAAACAGGTTTTTAAAGGATAAACAATACTTTGCTGTAAATGATGAGCTGAATGTCATTTTTTGCCCAAATTACGTTTCCTACTCCGTTAACTATTATCGGGACGCCATAATTCACCTTCTACGAACTGAAAAACTTGCTTACCTCCTTTTGCCAGTATTTAACCTTCGACTGATGTGTAGAAATACGACTATCAATTTGCTCAATTTTGAACTTGATATTGAGGGCTTCCTTCCGCAGTTCGTGTTCGTCATCCTGAATGGCCCTCATCTCCTGCAGCAAAGCGCGGTGCTCCTCCCGCACGGCCGGCAGCGCTTCCTGCAGCAGTGGCACACAGAGGGCAGTGCTCAGTTGCCAGGGAAATTCACCCGTGCCTCACCTTACAGCTCAGTTCTCACCAGCTATTCACACAGTTACTCTCCACAGCCCTGAGTACGGCTGTAAATAAAACACACTCTAACAGTCAGGTTAACCTGGTGCGCGAGTTCTGAAACAGCAGCTGGGAAAACGTGCTGCAGCTTGTATCTGACATCCAGATCTGGATGAAGCAAGTCCTACACTAATGTTTTAATGATGGTTTAGATCAGTGTCATGAGGTCAGGCTCGAATTGCAAGGTAGCTCTTCAAATGGAGCTATCTGCTCATTTCTGTATTCTAGGCCTGCCTGCAGTGTCAAGGATGAAGGTTAGCAGCACCAATTAAGACTCCTTTGGTACAACAAATACTACGTGCAGTTCATTCCAGACTGCATCCTCTATGAAGAGGTACACCAAATTAACATTACACTTACTTCAGCTTGCTTGCAGTCATTCAGAACCCCTGTAGCTTTGTCTTCTAGTGTAGTCAGCTCTTCTGTTAAGTCTCTAATTTCTTTCTCATTGTCTCCAATCTCCTTCTCCGTGCGAAGAACAGAATCTTCAGACTTTTTCAGGTTTCTGAACAGACACCAAGACATCCATGTACTTCACAAGTGCAAGTACAACACCAGAGAATCCAGAAGCACAGCCTTACTTATCAAAAACGTTCCCTAGATATTGGTAATCAAACAGGAAGCACTGATGTGTGCACAGACCCTCACACACTGGGGATACGCGGGGAAGACAAAGCTGTCTTCTGTAAACACAAACATGCAGCTCGTTCCTTCACACTCTGAGTTCACTCTCACTATGCATCAAGCTAACATAAAAGCAGCCCATTTTCTTTCTGGCACACTTCACAATAGAAGTAGTCCTTCAGATCTGAACTGCTTCACTGCATGCCAATAACGGTTATTCCTAATTTTTTCCTGATGTTGTATTTTAGTGATAGGCAGAAAAAACTGATTAAAGGGGACTTCTAAATCACCTTTTGGAGACTGCCAAACGTTACTGCCTTTTAACTCCAACGCAAGCAGCTTTTAGCTTGGTGCACGCAAATGAAAACTAAGATTTTCAGATGGAGAGACTTTTAGCCATGGCACCAATTGCTGCAGGTCCTGATGTAAGCAGATGCAGTTTGAAGACTGAAGGAACTCTCCTTGATCAGGTGTCACTAAGCTTTCTAGGTCTCTGATCCTCTGCCTGTAAAGCACACTAATTAACAAAGACCTCTAAATTAATTAACAAAACCTTAATCAAGAGCCAGTTTCAGTTTGAGGTGTCTCTTAGAGAAAAAGGCCGTGATCTTCTCCCTCCAGTTCTTCCTCTGGCTGTAAGGAAGGGAAAGCACACCTCCATCCTGACAGATCCCCAAGTACAGGGACAGCCTTTAAAACTGATGTGTACTGTACCTTTGTGCAGTCTTGATTGCCACTTGGGCTTTAGTAATAGCTGAAGTACATTCATCTATTTCTTGGTTGATCTTATCAACTTTGTCTTGCTGTGTTTTAAGTTTACGATTATTGAAATCAATTATGAGGTTATGTAATCGTTTAACTTCACTTTCCATTCTACCAGCTTGCTCAGAAACACACTCATAATCTGCGGGTAAACAAAGTTAAGTGTTAATGACGTGCCGTGGTCTCCAGACTCAGTTCTGTCTCTCAATGGTCTGGCAGAAACATCCCAGATATTTATAACCTCGGATTTTAGTGCGATTGAAGAAGTAAAGCATCTGCATGCTGTGGATGCTGTATTGCTCAAAAGAGGAACACAGGACATCCAAAGTACTCTGTATGCTCTTTCTTAAAATGCTACAAAAGCAAAGTGGTGAGTACAGCACTGGCAACATGCAAGAACAAAGCCTTAGCATTCACTCCTGCATTGGTAAATGAACATGACTACAGCTTTTATCTGCAATCCCTCTCTCCACAGTAAGTACCTTTCTTATAACTACTGAGGACTTTCTCCAATTCCTTCTGTTTGTTTTTGTCTGGAGCAGCAGCAATTACATTTGCTTCAAGTTCCTTAACTTGGCCTTTTAGATGAATTTCTTGTTCGGAAAAACTCTACAGAAAACAACAGATCAGTGTTAGAATCCCATACTTTAAGAAAGGTCTCTGATACTGACAAAGGTGACATTAACTTGAGGCTGAGGAGCTGTTCTCCTGCATATAGAAACCAGATGCTGCCTCAGTGACCAACTTGTTCACCTGGATGCTCGCTGTGTACTTTTCCAAAGTATTTCTCATTTCCCGCACGTTTTTCTCTAGCTTTGTTATGTCTTCTTCCAGTTGTAATTTTTCTTCTTCACACTGCACTGCTCGTTTGGAATCCCTCTGCAGTTCAGATTCCAGTCTGTTGATCTACACAAAAATGAAACACAATCACTCACAGATGTCACCACTACAAACACAAGTATTCATTCACGTGCTGGGCAGTCTACGACCTCTTAAAACACAGCAAGTGCTGTAACAACTTGAGGCTTTTCTAAAGCTGGACAGAACATGGAGGCTGCTGAGAACACCGATGATAAGCAGCGTTAGGAAGACAGGCTTCTTGAAATTTACCTTGAAAGAGCAGAAGGATAAAGATACATCTCAGATCTCAGCCAATTTTCTGTTTCTACAAACAGAAAACTGCCTAATAGGCACAGACACAAACATACTTCTTCGGGTTGGAGGTGCCCACAGTTTCTACACAGGTGCACAGCAGGACTGACAACAGAGAAATCAAGTTATAGCCACTGATGTTTACTGAGTGCCACAGTATGTCCAACGGACCAAATAAAAACAGGGGTAAGCATGTCTCTTGGAGAGAACTAACCTCGGGTAAATCTGATGCCTGAAGACAAGAAATAGCAGTCTTCCCTATTACTAGGATAGAAATACGAGCTGGCTTCTGTATTTATTGATCCTTTTCGAGACTGGGACAATAACAGTTTGTCTGTGAGATCAATTTATCAGTTCAACACGCACTCGACATTATATGAATAGCCTTGACAAAAGTTGCCATGTCAAACCCTCTGGTGTTTGCAGAACTGTAACTTCTCTTGGTTAATATAATCCTATTTTCCAAGCTAAGTGAAGGTGAAAATACAGGAAAAAAATAGACATCTTTTTTAACCCCCCAAAGATAAAACCAAGTAGTGCTGAAACATGAGCAAGGACAGCAAGAATGGTGGCTCAATTATCTCCTCCAGCAGAGAAACCTTTCATGTTGAGTTGGAACTTGGGGTTCCCCAACATGAATGTGTTTCCACATAGAAATAGTAACCACTGTTTCTGTGTTTTCAAGGGTAAGCAGGATACAACCCCTGCACTGGCTTACAGCTCTCGTTCCTAAAGAACAAGAAGTTCATTCTCTATTGGAGAGGACTGACCTCAGGAGCCACTGTCTGCTTGCGAGTTGCAGGGGGGAGCCTGCCTCCTTGCAGAGGTGTTACTGGTGTGGTTTGATCTTGGGTTGACCAGCAGATACTATGTGAAAAGGACACTGTCTACAGTTCTGTCTGCACTACAAGTACAGAGTCAAACCCAAATAAATTCAGATGGCAAGGAAGTATTTGGATTTCTCCAAGTATTGTTGACAAAAAATTTGAAGGAAGATGTTGCCAGACCCTGAGAAATCTTACAATGACACGTTGGACAAAATCTTTCTTTTCCTGCCATGAGTTTGCATATACTTCTCTGCAGCACAGTGGCTCCTTACAGTCAATCTCTTCCACGTTCTCACACCTACTTCAGTCAGTTTCCAAGCTATCAAAGGTAGCATGAAGGAACCAGAAGTAAATAGCAGGCATATGATGGCTGGGGTATGAAAAAGTGCACTTAAGAGCAACAGAACCCACGTTCAGCTTTTTTCAGCTTTCAGTCACCATCAGAGTATCTTACGTCTTGTTAACGACTCGTACCATCATACAAGTGTGTACGAACTGTCAAAACATAACAAACTCCACAGAAATTGCACTTTTAGTTAGGATTATGCACTAACCTCTTCTGGAGAAACATCAGTTACAACTGAGGAGCCCATTCTGCCCTTCATTACTTTGCCCCCACCACCAGTCATTGTTCCTGAAGCGGCGAAAGAGGAAGAGAAGTCAGCATGCTTCATTTTGCTTAGATAGCACCGACGAAGTGCTGAACATGTAAGCTTACACTTAAATACCTGACTGCTCAATGATTTCTCCTTTCAGCGTTACAACCCTCCACCTTTTATCTCTTTGGAATGCTATTCTGGTAGCAGCTTCCAAGTCCTTGACCACCAGGGTATCACGTAAGGCAAAGTAAAAAGCTGGGGAAAAGCTCTCATCTTCTACTTTCACCAGGTCAATCAGGCGAGGCACGTTTTCAGGGGTTGGGATTTTTGCAAGATTTTTCTTCCATACAGCCATCTGCATAAAAGAATGTAAACAAATGAACACGGGTTCCTTTGGCTAGAATAACGAAATGATGCCATAATTTAAGACATGCCAAGGCTTTAAAGCAAATGTAAATGTTCTCTAGTTAAACGTAACTTCTCAGAATGGTGAAACTTCCTTTCTTAGGAGTCTCTCTAGCTTGGATCTCTACTGACTTGGATCACAATTAAACATTTTGCATTTTAGCTTTACCTGCATTAATACTTATTCAGTGCAATATATCAATGTAACACGTATTTGTATGTATATAAACATCACTGTGCATCTTAGGGTGAATCAACAACGCAACTGGTTTTGCCCAGCACCAGTACTGACTTTGTCCAGGGCTATAAACGTGGCAGCTCCAATTTCCGTTCTCTTTAAGAACTCCACGCATTCCTGCGCAATATCGATGGTGTCAACAACGATGAAGTCCAGGGCAGCACAGGAGGATGAAATAGCAACATCATACTTCTCATCGATAGCTCCCAGGTCTCCCTAGGAATGGAAGGGGGAACCGAGAGGGGGGACAGAAATACTGTCATTAGCTGGGCATCAATGGTTTGTCTTGGTGTTGAGAGGTACGACAAAAGCTTTACAGAGAACGAGACGAGATGAAAATAAATTACAGAACTTTTTTTTTTTTGCCAAGTAATTTAAACCTTAGTTAAATTTTGGGAATTGATATCACACCTGACTTCTGCACACTGCTATTCATGTACCTCTCCTGTGTAGTTCCATAATAGAATATGGATTCATACTTAGCATTTCAAAAGCAGTAATTCTGACACAGCAGTGTGGTAGCTGTGGATTTCTTTTCTGTAGATAAATGGCAAATTTTATATGCCAGTATTTTAGTGAGGCGGTCTGGCCTAGCAAAATCATTTCGTATATTCTGTGTATGGTTCTACCATTGATCTGCTGGGTAGCACTTCTCAACTCAGATACCCCCGCAAGCATTCCTGCACACAGCTGCAAAATGGTGTCAGGTTATTGGTCTCCTTTGAAAATCTTTTCTTATCTGCAGGTTAACGAACCAGCACGCACAGCCAGCCATTAACCAACACCTTAACCTCAGTCCTTCCTCTGGCAAGTGGTAACACAGCATAAAACAAAGCAAATGCCAGCGGTGGCAGACAGCTGTGCGCTGCCATCTGAACTATGTCCTTTAAATCTACCTATACCTCAGGTTTTCAAATCCCCATGCACTGAGTGTTCTGAAGCAGAATCTTCTTTGAGGAGCAAGAGAGGCAAAGAGACAACAGCAGAATGTAACATTATGACAGGTATACTGATATATGCATTGTTTGATTCCAGAAAGAAAAAGGGAACAAAGAGCTCCAGTTGAGTGTTGCATTGCCTCCTACTACAGTTGAGCAGCATTTTCAGACCTTTACCTATTCCACCTTTCCCCTACTCAGAGAAAAACCACTCTGCTCCCATGAAGTCTAAGACAAAATTTGTAACAGCCTTTTAAAATTTACCAGTCTTCCATGTATTCCAGAAATACTCCCCGACCTCTTCTGCTCAAGCAGAGCCTCCAGCACTTTTCCTCGACTGCGGTGCTGTGCTAAAGAACTTTTGGCTTCTTCTACTTTTTGACGGAGATTTCGAACAACATCCTGAGCACTCAGTTCCTCTTCTTTCAGCTTCTCAAGCTTCTTCTCTTTCTAATGGGTACAAGAGAGATGTTAGCCACAAGAAACCTTCTGTACTCTAGACTTGGATTCATGGCTCTGTAAGCAATAAAGCAGCCACTGAAAAACTGAAGTAGCAAAACATTCATCAGCAAAATGGCTGTTATTTGTACACCTGGAAACAGATACAGCAGCTCATGCTCGTGTGAATCAGGCTTACACCGAGGTATTGGAATTATTTTTTCTACAGGGAAGAGAGGGGAGCACGAGGTGCAATTCAAATGGCTCAGAAACATAGTTATTCATTTATTTTACTGTGTCCAATTATTACATTTAAACTGATTTCCTTGTAGAGATGCATGAGATTTAATTTCCTGTGTTTAATGTTAATATTTTCTTCAAGCAAAACAAGTTTGAAATCAGATACTTAACTTCAGTGATTAATTAAGTATCTGAGTGTAGTTGTTAAATTCCGCACATGAAGGCGAGGTCTCACCTCCTTTAATTCCAGCTCAGCTGCAGGTAACTTCATATCTAGATCTTTAATAGCAGCCTTCCTTTGCTTCAGAGTGTCAGAAGTGGTCGCCAGAGCCTCCTTTGCCTCGCTGAGCTGAGACACAGCAGTGTTGTAGCGGGTGAGGTAGATGTCGAGTTCTGCCTGTGCCACATCCATCTTGGAACGCGCGTCATTCACCGTCTTACAGAACTCCACCAGCTCTTTCTCTTTGCCCTGCAGAGACGGATGTTACCGACCAGAACGCACTGGGGGATTTACTGAGTCAGTCATGCTGAGTGAAAGGCAGCAAGGACACCAGCAGTTGTTTTACTGGCAGGGAACAGATACAAGAACTGTTCAATAGTAGAACAGGTACATCTCTCTGCATCGGTTAATATATTCCTTATGGAAGTGCTTTTTTCCATAGCTATAAAGAGCACTGTGGAATTAGCTTAAACCATTTCCATACAAGCACTGCATCACCTTAACTTGAAGCTGTGGAGAACACTCCCAGCTAAATTTGTACTAAATTTGTACTGAATTACAGATCAAAAGGAGAAAGTGTTCAGTGCAGGAAACAGACCTCGACATTTATAGAATAAATGTTCAGTCTCCAGATCGTTCATGATTGGGCAGCCAATATCAACAACAGTAAGTGTTGCAGTACTTGTGTATGCATTGAAAGATAGACCACAGCTGTGCACAAGGCTCAGAACACAGCACTTCCCTATCAGATTATAATTATTATTTTCAAGTAAGTGTTGTCTTGAACATTTTGATGGGAGAAAATTCAAGTGTGTTCTACTAGTGGAAGTGTAGATTTATTTAATGTATGTGTAAGAACGATATCCTTAATAACTTATCACTACGAGAAGCAAACAACCTCATGAGAATGAATTAGCTACTGTAAGCTCTAAGTCAGCCTCCATCAAATCAGCACAAGGAACACTACCAGATACATCACATCTTCCTTCCATTTCCCACTCCAAAAGCTGCACCTCGGTTAAAACAGAAAGTGTGCGAGTCAACAAACCTCTTTTTCTTTCTGAATTTCTCGTGTTTCTTCTTTCAGACTACTCATAACCTGCTTGAGTTTTTCCTCCTCTTTGTCTTTTGCCTTTTCAAGAAGCTCTTTCTTAGATGTTGCATCGCTGATGGTTTTTTCACTACTGGAGGGCACGTTTTTCAGTTCTTCCACCTAAAGAAGGACAAAATTAACTCCCTCTTCAACCAAAACAAAACAGTTTGGCTGCATCTTTAAACCCTGCCTTCCAAATTTAAAGTGATTAGCAAACAAAAACCGAGCTGACAAATGACAAAATATCAGAGTGAAAAAAAATGAAAACATTTTTAAGCCTTCTCTGTTGCACAAAGTAGAACTGGTGTCCTTTGTTCCTCTTATCCAACTGCATGAAGATGCTCTCATCTAGAGCAACCAGGTGCATTTCGTTATGGAAAGCAAGCTGCAGTTCACTCTACCTTTTCTTTGTCCTTTTGAAGTTGCTTCTCCAGTTTTTTAGCCTTGCTTTTGGCGTGCTTCAGTTTTTCCCTTACTTCAACATCCTGCAAATCCAACTGAGTAAATTTATTTTTATTTTCCTCTATGAACACTGTAATTTTATCAATTTTCCTAGAAGGAAAACAAGAAAGAATTATTTATTCCATATCTTAAACAAAATAACATCAATAGAACTTGGCTGAGTAAGTGAGCACACAGGATTGAAAACAATACCGGTCAGTTTTGGTAGAAGCAGCATCCGAGGCTCACCGTGTGCATGGTATTTTCCCCTGGGCACTCATTTTTCATCAGAAAAGACAAACCCGTGAAAGGATGTTAAACACGTTTTCAGAAATGATTTTTTTTCCTTTGCTAACATTTGTAATTCATAACTCTCAAGCCATTAGAGCTCAGAGGATGAAGGTTCACAGCGCAGTCAGAGGAAGGTTTTGTAACCAGACGAGTCAGCAGAAGGAAAATTCAAACCACAGATAAGAGGTTCATAAGGAAATCAGAGCAAATACAGGTACAGCCAGGTACTGAAGCTTTTCAGATGTGTATCTAAAAACCTGAGGAAAATCTTCCAGCTATTCTTTGCAGTCAGCATAAAGAAGTAGTTTGTACTTCCAAATCCACAAAAACCAGGCGCTTTATCGGCATTAATGGAGGCTATTAGCCAGGTTTCTCCAAGAGAATCAACTCACAGAACACCAAATAAATCCAGGGAGAATATTTCAAAATTCATTTACTTGAAAATATCATTTAATTAACGCCAGGAATTGTTCCTAAGAGACTCTGCTCATCAGATAATTTAAGCTTTTGGTGGAAGGACTACAAAAACCCAGCTGTGCTCCCTCTGTTTGAGCAGCAACCCAATGCATCTATTTCACACTTCTGCTTACTCTGTTTTCTTTTTGTTTGTTTGTTTTTCATACAGCTACTACAGCCTCTCCATAGCTACTGAAAGCTGGCAGGGACCCCCAGGGGTCTTGATGTCCAACTGCTGGGAAAATGTGAGCTCCTTGTAACTTCAACAATAATATGAAACCATAAAGTCTGTACCTGGAGCACTTACTTCTCAAGATCCTTTAAAGCTTTGCTCTTGCTTTTCATTTCATCTGCAAGTTTACTACTCTTCTCATTAATATCTTTAGTTTCTTTCTGTATGTTTTCTTTTTGTGCTTCCAAATCATTTATTCGTTTCTGTAGGTCATAACTAAAGAAATCCAATAAAACAGTATTAAAAAACATTTTTTCCCAGGAAATAAACATTTAAAATGAATATTTATTTCTTATCTCGAGGATAAGAAAACAATAACGTCAAGTATTATACCCCAATACTCATTATCAAGTAACTTTGCCAATTTTACACAGAACAGCAAGGAAATCTATTGCTTTTTGACACCTCATATACAAAAACCAAACAAGTAGATCACTTGAAGCTTCTAGGTATGAAGCTGTACGAGGCACCATTCTTTGGAGGACAATGAATGTGATCTATTATTATACAAAAAAGTTGAACTGAACAACTTGAAAAAATCAAGATCTCTAGCACAGAGATCACTGCTGTACAACTGATTTTGAATGGCTACGCAGAAAAACAAAATATTTGGAATCACAGACATGGAAACACCACCACATGAAAGCCAAATCAGAACTTCAGTTACTTACATGTAGTACTGACAGATTTGGTTTTTCTCTTTAAACATTTTATTTTCCAGGGAAAGAAATTCGATGGCTTTGTTCTTGTCCCCTTCTAAGGCATCCTTTTCTTTTTCCACCATTTTAACTCTATTTAACTAGACGAGACAGACAGTCAAAGCTGGTTTTAATGCTAGCAGCATAGAAGAACAAATTGTGAGGACAAAAAAGCCCCAGAACCTTCACAGGTCCCACCTTCAGAGATGCCATCCCACAGTTAACTCTGCAAGCAACTGAGCAGTGCACACTGTCTGAAATAAGAGATGTCTGCTGCAGGCTGTACTGTAAGGGCAATTCAAAACAACACAGCTCAAAAGGAATCCTGCAGATGCTGGGAGCAGCTCATGCACACCGAGGAAAATGCAAGTGAGCAACAGAGGAGTTACAGGAGTCAGCATTTTCACTGGCCCCTTTCAGGTTACATCCTGTGACTACACATCTTTTGTTCTCCTTTACGCCTTTAAAAAACCAGAATCTGCTACATGTTAGAATTTACCAAGCACACACAAAGTCAAATAAAATAGAACTTGGATATTTTCCTACATCTAGAACTTAATGCATAAGTAAAAAGCCATGTAAGCAATGCCTGCAACAGATCTCTGTAGCTTGAGTCACAACTAATTTTCTGTATTTGTGTCTTCATGAAGTTTTGCATCACTTTGGCATTGCTGTGTTTCTCCCCCTCGCCCTTTTCTTGGCATTTAGGTTTCCCTGCTGCTTATTCTATTTGCTACTTTGCAACGAAGGCAGGTATGACTGCATCCAGATGTATTCAGCCGATCTGTTTCACTCCTCGTTCTGAGCAGCAGCACACGAAGCACAAGGATATGACCAGAGATGTTCAGCAGATAAGATCCTGGCTTCCAACTCAAACATTCAAACCTTTGGGTACCAGAAGCCAATGGCTTCTTAAGTGCTTAAAGAAGGGCAACTGATGCCAACTCCCCACTTCTTTTATAAGTGAGGGAAACACCAGATGCAAGAAAGGCATCTGAAAGTTCTCTGTACTTGCATAGAGTGCCAAATCTTTAAAGAATAAATCTTTCTGTTAATTGCTTTTCTAAAAGCTGACATAATGAGACACTGCAAGTTCATCTATTCAATTTATAATTCAAATAAACTTTTCTAAGACTTACCTTTTCTCCCCTCTGTTCATTTAAAGTCTCTACTCTGCGACAAAGAGTTTGAATAGGATCTCTCAGCCGTGCAGACCCTATCAGATCTTCCAAGTACTCCAGCATGCCCTCATCATGTTCAGTCTGGCCTTTGGGTTTCATCATTGCAATCTGTTCAACTTCCCCCTTGGAAAAAAAAGGTTTAATGTTTTCTTCTTTTTTTTCTTTTTTTTTTCCTGAGGGATGATAGCATGTTAAAAATATACAAAAGGGGTGCAGGTGTATGAATACAGAAGCTCACAGTCAGGTCTAAAATCTGCTGTTTCTGTAAAGATTCAAAATGTTTTCCCCCAGCCTAGAAAAAGGAGGAAAGAAGGAAGCACCTCCTCTAGGTTGTGTTGCACCCAGGAGTCTTAAGTTACACAAATCAGGATTTAAGTCCTTGAAGATTCCCTTTAGGGAACAGAAGGTCCATAAGTCTTGTCTGATGGCTGAGCTGGACCTGCAACTCAAACAACCAAGGCTTGTTTGTTGGGAGAGAAACAAAGTTCAGTGTTAGACTCCAGTTCATTTTCTTGTACGTAAGGCATCAGCTTCAAACTCCTGAGCTTAACACTGATTTGATTTCTTACAAAATAAGAATTAAAGATTAAACTGAGACAACGACAAGGACTGATATCATTGTCTGCTATCAATATCTTATGCTTCAGACAGCGCAGCCTTAAACCTTCAAAGGAAGGATTACATTTTGTAAATTAGAAGGCAAAGACAAGAACCTGGATGTACATGTATTAAATTGGAGTTTAGAGGAAATACAGACGTGGATGCAAAATTAAACAGAGTGAACGCTGAGTACAAACTACTCACCCCTCAAAAACCTGCACAGTTATTGGATGTACAAGTTATTAGGAAATGGATGAGCACTTAGGAAATGCAGAGGACTGGCACTGCACAGGCTTTGGGACAGATGTTTAAACCTGTGAAATAACAAGCTCTATTACAACTGAAATTTAGTTTTAGGACTGATAAAACTTAAAAACAGGATTTATATTCTAGCATTCAACTTAAGTATGTAAAAAACACCTGAAGTCTGCATACAGAGACCAAAATGTACTCCAGAACTGTCACTGCTTCATGTTGAGCTGGAGCTGAAGACAAGCTCTACTGAAGTATGGACAAGGAAGGAATTCTTAAGACATACAGAAGATGGAGTGATTAATGGGACTGCAGGAAAAGCAAAAGGGACCATCACTGAAGGCAGCAGTGCGGAGGATTCCCATGCCAGCTCTGTAAGCAGTCCTGTAATTGGCTACAGAAGTGGAGGACAAGGTACTGCTGAGCGCTGCCTCTCAGAGCAGTCGGTACTTCTTGCAGAAGTGGCTTCCTTCCACTTTCCCAGCACACAATGACACCTAGTGGCCCAGCTTTTCTTCCAATTAATAAATGCTATTCAGCTGAGCAGAAGGGAACGGGAAGTTTGCAAATTTTGCAAAACGAGAAGCACTATTTGTTAAGCTACAAAGTCTTTCTGAAACACAAGAAATTCCCTCGTTGGGGTAAAACAGAAACGTGGGGCTGTTTTTGGTCGGTTGGTTTTGTTTTGTTGTTTTCTCGTTTCACAATTCTAGAAGTTACACACGTGCAGGCTATTATTTTTTGACAATTACGGTTCATAAGAAGTCTCAACAGGCTTGGAAAAAAACTCTTTTTACTTCTTATGGATATGATAAAGGCAATTTGCTTTTTAATAATTGCAGCTGCACAGTGCATAATTCCAATGACACACCCATCACTGAGGAATTTATGATAATTTTGCTGCTTCTTGCATTAAAGCTCTTCCTGCATTTACACCCAAGGAAAAACCATCACTGCAAAGATCTCCTATGTTGTACATCACAAAGGTTGGTTGCAGTCCAGCTTGCGCTTTCTTTCCCCTTCATTCCCTCTGCCTTCCCACCACCCCCTCCCCATTTCTTTTCTACAGCCAGGTACAAAACAATGCTGTATTTCACACAAGCACTGTCATTTACCCTAAGTGCACAAGGAAGGGATGTAAGCCAACATCTGCTCGTGACCTAATCCAGTCCAATTAACCCTCTTTAAATCATGACTATTTCAGTAGTTGTGAGGGCTCTCCGTAGCTCACCAACACACAGAATAGAACTGCAGTGTTTTTAATGACACAGCACATCAGCAATGAAGCTGAATTCTGTATCTAACTCTATAATCCTACCAACTAGGAAATCAGAGCTTTGATTGTCTATGTGGAAAAATAATACATCACCATAGAACCAGGAATGCAATCTCACCAGGGAGTAAAGTTTAGGCAATATGTACAGTCAGGTTTTTGAAAAGATGAGGTGAATTGGGTGACTGGTGAGAAGATACTGAACGTAAGGAGCTTGTCAGGCTGAGTACAGCAACACTACGTGCAGCTCCTCTGCTTTGCAAGAAGCAACAATTTCATATTTTCTTCAACTTACAGGAAAATATTTAGATGCTGTTATGTACTTAAATGTTTGGATTCTTATCAAGGGTAAAAGTGAAGACATTTAGAAGATACAAACAACAACTGGATCACAACAGCATTAATTTTTATTTAATGTTTAAGTTATTTACCAGATTTTACATTAAGAAATCAGTCCATCCCTACAGCTATCACACCATGGGATTAAGAGCTTCCCGGCTGCTGTCATCAAAGGAGACTGAAGTTGACTGCTTGCAGAAAGAGCAGGTACATGACAGCGATACAGGAAAAAGCATTTCACAGCTTTGCATTGTTATAACTTGATATACTCAATTTAACAGTTTCCTAACTTTTTAAACTAAGCATCTTGCTTCATCCACAACTACTTGCATTGTATCGAAATTACACCCTTGCTTTCATCTAGTAAAAGATCTTTCAAAATACAGCCAGCATTTCTGAAAGTGAAACTAAGCAGGCAGTAGGCAGACATTGTTGAGAAGCAGCATGTCCTAACATGTTCTCTAATAGCTGTTGAACCTACTAAAACTGACCACCAGGAAAGGTCTCTCACTATTTCCCTCAGCTCTCCCTCCAGCTCTCAGTCATGCACTCACGAGGAGAGAGGGAGCAATGTGCAAAAAAAGAAATTAACATTAGGCCTGGCTGTTGGAGACAATTGAGATGGACGTTACCATTCAGAGCTGGCAAACAGCTACCAAAGGACAGCACAGAAACACGCACACGGACCAGGGAGGAGCACCTCACATCCCATGAGTGCTTCGGGAAGGCTGCAAGTTTCGCGTCAGAATTCTACATGGAAGCACCGCCCCAATGTCTATTCCTGCACTGTGCACGCAGCATTCTGCATCAGGCTGAAATACTGGGATGCTGGCACTGGCACACCAACAGGAACAGAGGCAGTCAGCTCAAACACTCTATGACATACATACAAATGACAAGTTCCACACAACGACTCGGGTTAGTAATCCAAAAACAATTACTGGCGCGTTTTGATAGAGCTATTTAATCTTAAAGCCATTTCCTCTAATCACAGTCGTGAGGAATAGCATCAAGGAACTTGGAAACAGATGATCCCACCTCCCCTCACACAGCCAAACTGTCAAGGAAACTATTTAACTGCCATGATGTTTGAGATGCTTTCTAAACGTAAACTTCTGTTGTGATGTAAGTAGAGCAAGAAAGCCCTCAAAGACCAGTGCAAGAGCTGCTGCTAATAAAATTACCCACCTGCAACCAATGCTCCAGCCCAGGTGACTCAGATGAGCACAGGAGCACCAGTGAGTGCCCTATGCAGCACTGCCTGGGCTTGTTCTGCCTATTGAGTTGAAGACCATGAAGTGCATGGATGGATGTGCACAAAGCCACCGATGGACTGCCAGTGAAACAAGCAGTGCTCTATTCTTTCACAGGCACATGGCTTACAAGCATTTATTTTGGACTCCATGCATTTCAGAAGTTGAACTTGCAGTATTTGAGTATTTGGGGAATGCTATACATTCAGTGCAAGTCATTTAGCGCAGACTGAATCCATTTAATTTCTTTATTTCCATTGCACGCTCACTTCTGCGCTCACGTTAGGCTAACACTCTCATTAGGACAAACCCATCTGTCATGGTGCAGGCAGCTTAATGAAGTGGAGGCACTCCAATGCCACGTGCAATTTTCTGGAACCTATCTGTGAAGGGTAAGAACTTCATCTCCTGCACGGCCTCCAGAGCTGGACAGTGAAATGCCTCAACTTTCAATCACCGCATTTCATAGAATTACTACCCTTGTCTTCTCTGAAATCACTCACTTAAAACAGCTGATTTCTCAGAATAGAAAGCTTTAAATGTGAGTTTACCCAATATTCATCCACAAAAATTCTGAATGTAGAGCAAGGTCAAAGTGCTCAGTGAAGAGATCTTCTGACCTACTCATTCAGTTACCTTTCTGCACCTCTTACCCGAGTTTTGGCACTGCAGGTTAGTTCTCACTTCTGCAGAGAACTCCCGGCCTGATGCTCTGGGCAGACTGCAGCATCACGTTCGTGCAGCCTCTGCTCAGACTGAGCAGGCTCTGAGCCCTGAAGGGTTCTGAGGGTATCAACACCAACAGCGTAGCACGAATCCTAACACTGACATTACTCAGCTTCAAACAGAGATAAAATCAGAGGTTAATTTGTGCCGCATACAAACAGGAGCAGTTCTGTCTGTCATCATGCTGAAATTAAGGAGTTCCAGAGCACAGCCCTCAGATTCCATTTTAAACTTCTGGGATGAAACGAGGCAACAGCAGCAAAAAGCCTTTTAACTTCTACTGAAAGCTGTCTTAAACCTTTTCATGGAGGAAGAAAACGTTTTTTTTGTTGTGAAAATTCTTCTGCATCAGGGGTCTCAGGACAACCTGTGGAGAGGTGCTGACCAGTGATGCCTCCACTCCTTTAAATTTTGCAAAAAATATGGTGATGGTGTCACACAACAAAAATTTTTGTCAACTCAACTGTGAATGCAGCACTCACAGATAGACTTCGTTAAGAGCTCCACTGAGGCAGCACATAGGTAAAGATATTTTCCAGGTTGTGCCGCTGTCAATTTCTGTTATCTTAATCTGAAGTTATAAACTCAAGTGCTGAAAAACTTTAAATTAGCAGGATCCCAAGTGATGCAATGAATGGTACCATTGAGTGTTAAACCCCACGGCCTTGAGAAGCACAGTA